ATTTCTTCAAATAGGTTTTCAATATCTTGCTCTCTCTCTTCTTCTGGCACCCCTATAATTCGGATGTTGGTACGCTTGAAGTTGTCCCAGAGGCTCCTTACACTATCTTCATATTTTTGGATTCTTTTTCTTTTTGCTCTTCTGGTTGGTGTTTTTGCTTCCTCATATTTCAAAACATTGATTTGATTCTTGGGATCCTCTAGTCCCGTGGTCAGCAAACCGCGACTTGCGAGCCACATGCGGCTCTTTGGTCCCTTGAGTATGGCTCTTCCACAAAATACCACGTGCAGGCGCACACGTACAGTTCGATTGAAACTTCGTGGCCCATGCGCAGCAGTCAGCATTTTGTGGAAGAGCCGGTATTTTGTGGAAGAGCCACACTCAAGGGGCCAAAGAGCCACATGTGGCTCGCGAGCCGTGGTTTGCTGAGCCGCAGTTTGCCGACCACTGCTCTAGTCTACTGTTGAATCCCTATATATTATTCTTTATTTCAGTCAGTGTATGCTTAATTTCTGACTTGTCCTTTTCCATTTTTTTTTGGCATTCTAAGATCTGAAAGTCTCACTAAGTTCCTCGGAGGTTTCTAGAAGATTCTTGAGTAACCTTATAATGTGGTTTTGAACTCTATATCCAGTAGTTTGCTTTCCCCCATTTCTTTCATTTGTGACATCTTTCTTTATCTCCACATTATGGCTGCTTCCTTGTGTTTGTTTCTATGTATTGGGTAGCTGCTAAGTCTCCTTGAGGTGATAGAGTGGCCTTGTGTGGTAGGTGTCCTATAGGGCCCAGTGGCTCAGCCTGCCCATTCACCTGAGGTGGACACTCTTGGTGCATCCCTTTCTGGGCTGTGTGCACAGTTTCATTGTAGTTGAGCCTTGATTGCTATTGGTATCACTGGGAGGAACTGACCTCCAGGCCAATTGGCTGTGGGAACCAGCTGTGACTACAGTGAGAGAGTTGCTGTGCAGGAGACACCTGATGGAGCAGGACTTCAGTGGGGCTTTGGTGCTCACTGAGTCTGCCCCTTGAGTGTGTTGCTTATGGATGTGAAGAGTTGTAATCTGGTATGGTCTCACACTGACCACTGGTACACTGGCTCTTGGTTCTCCAGGGAGGTGCAAAGTCAACCACTGCCTGGGGCCACCAGCAGGAGCTACAGAGAGATCTGCAGATTCCTCCTCTTCCTTTCCTTTTTTAAAAAATATATATTTTATTGACTTTTTGCAGAGAGGAAGGGAGAGGGGCAGAGAGTTAGAAACATCGATGAGAGAGAAATATTGATCAGCTGCCTCCTGCACTTGACTTTTTGCAGAGAGGAAGGGAGAGGGGCAGAGAGTTAGAAACATCGATGAGAGAGAAACATTGATCAGCTGCCTCCTGCACACCCCCTACTGGGGATGTGCCCACAACCAACGTACATGCCCCTGACCAGAATTGAACCCAGGACCCTTTAGTCCGCAGGCCGACACTTTATCCACTGAGCCAAACCAGCTAGGGCAGATTCCTCCTCTTTCTATTAGGTTTGTAAGTGCCCAGATGAGGCCCAGCTGTGAAGCAAGGCAGGCTGCTGCTGGTGCTGGTTTTTTGGGCCTTTTATTGATAGGTTTGCAGCTCCCTGACCCAGCTGTAACTTGTTTAACAGAGTTTTTGCCTGAGAAAGGACAGTCCATTCATATGCAAAAGTAGCTATCACAGCTTGGGTGGGATTGTAAATTGGGTGGAGTGGGGTCTCAGGGAATCTCCAGGGTGGAGTAAACAGAAATGGCTGCCAGTCAGCCCTGCACCGAGGAGGTCCCAGCACAGGAACATGACTGCTTCGAGCACCTCTGTCTGGAAGAAAGCTGCCCTGAGGTCCTGCTCCGATGACAGTCCAGTTTCTCCCCGTTTGTGTCTAGGTCCCCCAGAGCCTCACCTGAGGAAGTGGGAGCTTGTAAATTCAGTTCATGGTGCCGGCCTTTTAAGAGGAGCAGCTGGGTCTCCAGCAGCCTGTGTGTCACTCAGCTCCAATCCGCACGGGTTTTTACAGTCCATAGTGCTTACAGCCTGTAGGGACTTCTTCCCCAGCTCTGGGACCCTGGGCTGGGGGTCTGGTGTGGGGCTGGAATCCCTCGCTCCTCCAGGCAGCCTCTGCAGAGGCTATCTCCCTCCTGATTAAAAAAGCAGCACACCCGGGTGCCAGACCAGCCCGTTTTGTGCCTCCACACCTCCTACCAGTCTCTTTACCTCTGTTGTAGTACTTCCACTCAGCCAGCTTTCCTGTGGTTCCGGGTGATAGTTGTCCTGTATTTTAGCTGTAATTTTGATGTGGTTGCGGGAGGCAGCAAGTACAGGTGTTTACCTATGCTGCCGTCTTGGTTCTTTCCAGAGTGCTTATTTTCTTGCTAGCACACCTGAGACTCTACTGTGGGAAATGAGGAAGTGTGAGGAGCCTGCATTTGCTCCTTCTCATTGAACACTCGGCTAAATTCATAAACAGGCTAATCCAGAGATTGTCTATTGCTAGTCCAAGGGTGTAGACGTGCAGTTGTGTTGTATGTGTCAGATTGCCCTCCAGAAATATCGAGCACCTTCCAGTATGCTCCCTGGCCAGGCCCTGCAGTAGGCAATGGCATGGAGAGTCAGACAGGGGTGATCCTTGCCTCGTGCAGCTCCGAGCCTGACAGCGTTGGAACTTCACCTTGGCTCCTGAGACCTCCCCCTCCTTGTTTCACAGCTCAGGACACTGCTGTTGCCCCAGCAGTACCAGTCTCTCTTCTTAGAAGCGGAAGGTGTTTGAGGTCTGGGATGCACGTGGGTTGACATGCTTTTTTAAAAAAAATAGATATTTTTATTGATTTGAGAGAGGGAGAGATAGATAGAAACATCAATGATGAGAGAAATTAATTGATCAGCTGCTTCCTGCACATCCCCTACTGGGGGTCGAGCCCGTAACCCGGACATGTGCCCTGACTGGGAATCAAACCGTGACCTCCTGGTTCATAGGTCTATACTCAACCACTGAGCCACGCTGGCCGGGCTAGATATACTTTTTTGTTGTTGTTAATTCTCACCTGAGGATATTTTTCCATTGATTTTTAGGGAGAGTGGCAGAGAGAGGGAAAGACAGAGAGAAACATTGATGTGAGAGAACCACATCAATTGGTTGCCTTCTGCATGAGCCCCAACTAGGGCCCAGACTGGGGAGGAGGATGCAACAAGGTACATGCCCTTGATTGGAATCGAACCTGGGACCCTTTGGTCCATAGGCCAATGCTCTTTCCACTGAGCCAAACTGGCTAGGGCAACATGCTTTTTATTTTAAAAATTAAATTTATTGGGATGACATTGGTTAATAAATCACATAGATTTCACGTGTAGATTTCTATGGCACAAGATCTGTACATTGCACTGTGTACTCACCACCGAAAGTCAAATCATCTTCCATCACCATATATTAGGCCTCCTTCACCCCCACACCTTCCCTCTGGCAACCACCACACTGCTGTTTGTGTCCACGAGTTTCAGTTTTATATCCTGCATATGAGTAAAATCATATAGTTCTTAGCTTTTTCTGCCTGACTTATTTCACATAGCATAATACAGTATTCTCAAGGTTCATCCATGTTATTGCAAATGGTAGTACAGAGGGGCATTGACTTAAGAGTTTAATTCGTTCCGTGACGGAGCTCGTAACTCAAATTACTCGTATGTCAAATCAATTGTGAACGAGTGAGACACGATGCTGGGCTGATGTGGCATTCACTGTGACATTTGCTGCGCCAACTAGCGGTGGGGTATCTGAAGCTGGCTCGTAACCCGAATTTTAGCTCGCAACTCAAAGCAAAAAGTTGGCTGAGAGACAGCTCGTATCTCGAAAAACTCGTTAGTTGGGACACTCGCCGTCAAGGCCCTACTGTATTTTGTGCTTTCTTATGGCTGAGTAGTAAGTATTCCATTGTGTATATGTCCCATATCTTTTTTTTTAAATACAGTGGGGCCTTGACTTACGAGTTTAATTCGTTCCGAGACTGAGCTCGTTAAGGAGCTCGTTAACTCAAATTACTCTATCAACTTGCAAAAAATAATCGGCTGAGAGACAGCTGGTATCTCAAAAAACTCGTTAGTCGGGACACTCGTAAGTCAAGGCCCCACTGTATATCTTTATTGATTTCAGAGAGGAAGGGAGAGGGAGAGATAATAACGTCAATGATGAGAGAGAATCATTGATCGGCTGCCTCCTGCATGCCCCCCCATGGGGATGGAGCCCCCAACCCGGGCTTGTGCCCTGACCGGGAATCGAACTGTGACCTCCTGGTTCATAGGTTGATGCTAAACCACTGAGCCATGCTGGCTGGGTTGTACCACATCTTTTTTTCCCCAATATATTTTTTTTATTGATTTTAGAGAGGAATGGAGAGAGAGAGAGAGAGAGAGAGAGAGAGAGAGAGATAGAAACATCAATGATGAGAGAGAATCATTGATCGGCTGTCTCTTGCACACCCCCAACTGGGGATCAAGTCCACAACCTGGGCATGTGCCATGACAGGGAATTGAATCGTGACCTCTGAGTTCATAGGTCGATGCTCAACCACTGAGCCACGCTGACTGGGTGTGTACAATTTCTTTATCCAGTCCTTTATGCAGTACACTTGGGTTGTCTCCATGTCTCAGCCACTGGGAATACAGCTGCAATGAACTTAGGAGTGCATATATCTTTGTGAATATATGTTTTTGAGTTTTTCAGGTATATAGACCCAGGAGAGGTATTGCTGGGTCATATGGTAGCTCTATTCTTAATTTTTTGAGGAATTGCCAGACTGTTTTTCATAGTGGTTCTACCAGTCTACATTCTCATCAACAGTGAATGAGAGTTCCCTTTTCTCCTCAACCTCTCCAACATTTATTACTTGTCTTGTTGATAATAGCTATTCTAACAGGTGAGAGGTGGTATCTCATTGTAGTTTTGATTTGCATTTCCTTAATTGCTAGTGAGGTTGAACATCTCTTCATATAGCTGTTGGCCATTTGTATGTCTTTTTGGGAGAGGTGTCTGTTCAGGTCCTCTGCCCATTTTTTAATTGGGTTGTTTGTTTGGTGTTGAATTTCATGAGTTCTTTGTATGTTTTTATTTATTTCTTCTTTAGCCCAGTCATTTTTTAGTAGTATGTTGTTTAATCTCCACATAGTTGTGGGTTTCTTTACTTCCTTTTTCCAGCTGATTTCTAATTTTAAGGCATTGTGGTCAGAGAATATAATTTCAATCTTGAATTTGTTGAGGCTAGTTTTGTGACCCAACATACTGTCTATCCTTGAGAATGCTCCATGTGCACTGGAGAAGAATGTATAGTCTGATGTTCTGGGATGAAAAGCTCTATAAATGTCAATTATGTCTATTTGGTCTAGTGTGTTATTAAAGATCCATGTTTCTTTATTTTCTATTTGAATGATATATCCAGAGCTGCGAATGGAATATTAAGGTCCTCAACTATGATTATGTTTTGATTTCTTTCTCCCTTTAGTTCTAATTTTAGTTGCTTTATATATTTCATTGCTCCCTGATCAGATGCATATATATTAAGAAGTATTATGTTCTCTTGATGTAGTGTCCCCTTTATCATTATAAAGTGTCCATCTTTGTCTCTTGTTAACTTGAATTCTATTTTGTCAGATAAAGTATGGCTACACCTGCTTTTCTGTGGATGTTTTTTGCTTGGAGAATCATTTTGCACCCTTTTACTTTGAATCTACCTTTGTCCCTGCAGCTTAGATGTGTCTCTTGTAGGCAGCATATGGTTGGGTTTTGTTTTTTGATCCACTCTGCTACTCTGTACCTCTTTATTGGTGAATCCAGATAATTTACATCCTATATAATAAAAGCATAGTATGCAAATTGTCCCATTGACCAGGAGGTTGTCCGGGAGTTCGACCAGGGGGCAGGGCCGACCGGGGGAAGGGAGGGAGGCTCTGCCCAGTGGCAGCGGCAGGCGGCAGGGGGAAGGGAGAGAGGCCCTGGCTGGTGGCAGCGGCAGGCGGCCGGGGGAAGGGAGGGAGTACCCGGCTGGCAGCTGGCAGCCACTAGGGACCCTATCAGTGCAGGAATTTCGTGTACTGGGCCTCTAGTTTAGTATAATTATTGATGTAAGAGGATTTCCTATAGTCATTTTATCTTTTGTTTTCTTGTAGCTCTGTGCCTTCAGTAGTTCTTTTCCTTTGTGTGTTTGTCTCTTGTTTTGTTTGGTGGTATTCTACACTTCTTTCTTCTGCTTTCTCTTTTTTAAGCGATGTGTCTTAATTTTGGGGGTTTTGTGTGTGGTTACCATCAGGTTTATGAAAAATAAAGTTGCATATGTACTGTAGTTTTTTCTCTTTTGAGTGCATCTAATCTCCATCCTCCTTTGCCAGTTCAGACCTTCACTCCTCTCCTCTTTTATGTTTTTGTTATAACAAATTATTCCTATTTATGCTGTAAGTTGTTTGGTGATCATACTCATAGTGTTGTGACCTTATGCTCTTTGTTTTAAGTAGAATAATTCCCTTAAGTATTTCTTGCAATGGTGGTTTTCTGGTGATAAATTCCCTCAGCTTCTGTATATCTGGGAACATCTTTATTTCTCCTTCATATTTAAAGGATAACTTTGCTGGATATATTATTCTTTTGCTGAGAATTTCTCTCTTTCAGTCATTTGAATATTTGGTTCCACTTTCTTCTGGCCTGTAGAGTTTTTGTGAGAAGTCCGATGATAATCTGATGGGTTTTCTTTTGCAGATAACTTTCTTCTTTTCCCTGGCTGCTTTGAGAATTTTTTTTGTCATTCATTTTTACAATTTTAATACAATGTGCCTTGGAGAGGGCCTCTTTGGACTGAGGTAACTAGGTGTTCTGTTTGCTTATTGGATTTGAGGATCTAGTTCTTTCCATAGGTGTGGGAAGTTCTTATCCATTGTTTGTTTAAATAGGCTCTCTGTTTCCTTATCCCTTTCTTCTTCTTCTGGTATGCCTATTATTATTATTATACTAGAGGCCCGGTGCATGAATTTGTGCACCACTGGGGTCCCTCAGCCTGGCCTGTGGGATTGGGCTGAAACTGGCTCTCTGACATCCCTCGAGGGGTCCTGGATTTTGAGAGGGTGCAGGCCAGGCTGAGGGACCCCACTGGTGCACGATTGGGGCCGGGGAGGGACGTGGGAGGTTGGACAGCCAGGGAGGGACCGCGGGAGGGCTCCAGGGAGTGTCCGGCCCATCTTGCTCAGTCCTGATTGGCTAGACCCCAGCAGCAAGCTCACCTACTGGTCGGAGCGTCTTCCCCCTGGTGGTCAGTGCATGTCATAGTGAGCAGTTGAGCAGCCTTAGCATATCATTAGCATAGTACGCTTTGATTGGTTGAACGGCCAACTGGCCGACCGGACACTTAGCATATTTGGCTTTTATTATGTAGGATTGCTTTTTCTGATGGAGTCAGATAGTTCTTATAGAGCTATTTCATTTTTTTAAATGCTCGGGTCTCTCTCTTCTTCCCTATGCATCATTTCTAGATTCCTATATTGATATCACTAATTCTTTTCTCCATCTGGTCAGTTCTGTTTCCTATATTCAGTAGTTTACTCCTAATCTCCTTAGTTGCATGCTTCATTTCTAGGATTTCTGATTGGTTCTTTTTTTAACGCTTTAGATTCTTTGGTACAGTACTCATTTTGTTCATTAATTTGTTTTTTGAGTGTATTAGATTGCCTGTCTATATTTTCTCACATCTTGTTGAGTATTTTCAGAACTGCAATCTTGAATTCTTTGTCATTTATATATTTCCATGTGTTCCAGCTTGCTTTATGGAGATTTTTGATTTTTTTCTGGGCTTCCTTGTTTCCACGGTTATTCATGGTATTTGCTGGTCTCCTTTGTCTAGGCATCTATGTATTATATTGGCCCTTCTCTAGCATCTTTATTTGAACAGGTCTTTCTACTGTTTTCTAGTAGGTGATGCTGAATCACAACATTTTTAGCTCTGTGACGTCCCAGAGCTGCCCTCCATAGCTCCGATCAGACATTACAGCTGTGCTGCTTGGGGGTGGGCTTTGTTTTGCCCTCACCATAATGGTGATCCCCGGACCTCAATGGTGTCCCCCCCGCCCCCTCCAAATAGGGATCAATCACTGGAGGAAACAGGGATTCTGCTGCAATATCTCTCAGTTTACAGATAATGTGCTCCTTAACCTGACACCAAGGGCAATGGGAAGTGAGTTTTGGGAGTCCAAGGGGGTGATGGGCCTCTGTGGCTCCATCTTTGCCTAGAACACTAACTGTCCAACAGCAGACAGTCACGACAGAACCCAGGCACTGTGTCCTTACCCCAGCCTCTCAGCTGGCTCAGCTGCTGTTCGCGCCACTTGCCCTGCTGGAGAGCCACCGAGACTCTGTTCTTCCTGGCCCATGGAAATACCTGTTTCCTCCTCTCTCTGGGGCTGAGCTAGCAGCCAGCTCCCAGCTGCAGGGCTGCATCTGTGGCCGTGTGAGCTCTCTTCCTTTCTTGCCTCCCCATTTGCTCCTGGTTGCCCACCTTTAGATGATTCAATGCATGGGTCTCTCAGGCATGCTTCTATATTGAGCATGGAATCCTTTGTTGAGTTATATAGTTGATAAACTTGTTAACAAGTTTCAGGGGGAGAGGCCAAGGGGATCTCTCATACTGCCATTCCTCTAATGTCACTCCCCAGACATGCTTTTTAAACTCCTTTTTTTCTTTGTAAATCAGCCACAACAATGCAGCTGTCAGGGGCAGGCACTGGTGGTGAAAAGACTTTGTTGTGTTATAGCAAAATACCATGTGTGTTATACGCACTGTCCCAAGCACTTAAAGTTGTAACATTTATTAATTTTTTTAAGCACAAGGGAGTGTTTTCCATCAGATGATGATGATGAGGAGGCAGCCGCAGCTTCTAGTAAAACTGAGGTCTTTGAACAGAAGATCAAGAGACCTACTAAGGTTGGTATGCCTTCTGTGGTTTCTGTTTGGGAGCTCGGGTCACTCAACATGTGTAGACCATCTCTACTCTCAGCTTCCCTCCTGCTTGGTCATCTGTTGTTGGTTAATATTTCCTCACTAGGGGCCCAGTGCACGAATTCATGCACCTTGAAAGGAACTTGGCGCAGAGCGATTGGGGCTGGTGCTGGGCACCAGCAGTGGGTGTGAGCGGTGGCTCTGGCGCCAGCTGCGAGTGCAAGTGGGCCGTTGCCAGCAGCAGGTGTGAGCAGTGGCTGCTGGCCCTCATTGCCCCTCAGGAGCAGGAGGAGTATTGGGGCTAGCACCAGCAGCTGGTACGATTGGGGCCAGTGCTGTCAGCAGGCGTGAGCGGCGGCTGCTGCCCCAATCGCCTATCAGGAGCAGGAGGAGGTGGAGAAGCCCTGAGGGATGATTGGGGCCAGCAGCCACTGCTCACACCTGCTGACAGTGCCAAGTGATTGGGGCCGGCGCCAGGCGCCTGCAGTGGATGTGAGTAGTGGCTCTGGTGCCGGTAGCAGGAGCCGGCAGCAGGTGCAAGTGCCCACTGGAACTGCAGTGTGCGGGAGCAAAGAATTTTCAGTAACCACCAGAGGCTCGCCCCGATGACAGCAACCGGCATCCTGCCTTGGTCTGGCGCCCCCGCTCACCTGCTTCACCATCCCGCTGCGGCCAATGCCCGCCATGTTCCACGCTCTGCTGCCTGCTGCCAATGCCTGCCATGTTCTGCATGTGCCCCCTAGTGGTCAGCGCACATCATAGTGACCGGTTGTTCGGTTGTTCCGCCGTTTGGTCTATTTGCATATTAGGGTTTTGTATATATATAGAGAGAGTAACTTGTTTGCCAAAGATCAGGGAAATGGAATAACAAGTTCAGATTAGATTACTCTTCTACTTACTAGTTAGCACAAAGGACAGATTTGGTCAAAAATAGAGTAGAGAACTATTAAGTGGGCTTACTGACCCATGAGTCTATCTAAAGAGAACTTTTTAAAATGTTAAGTTTGTTGAGATATAATTTAGTTTACTCCTTTTAGTTTACCGTTCTTTGAGTTTTAACAAATGTATGCAGTCATGTAACTATCAGTACAGTCAAGATAGAGAATGTGTCCATCACTCTAAAGAGTTACCTCTGCGGCTTTGTCTTTGTCCTCAATGCCCAGCCCCAGCCCCAGCCCCAGGCAATCACTCCTCTGTTTTCCTTCCCAACAGCTTTGCCTTTCCCTATACTATACATCAGATCATATAGTATGTAGGCTTGTGAGTCTGGTTTTCACTCAGCATAGTGCTTCTAAAATTCATTCATGCTGATGCCTGTGTTAGTAGTTTGTTCTTTTTTGTTTCAAACAGTACAGGAGATATTGTGGGATCAGCTCCAGATCACTGCAATAAGGTACATATCGCAATAAAGCAAGTTACATGAATTTTTGGCTTCCCATTGTATATAAAAGTTATGTTTACACCATACTTTAGTTATTAAGTGTTCAATAGCATTATGTGTAAAAAAAAACACCAATGTATATACCTCAATTTAAAAATGCTAACCATTATCTGAGCTTGTTGGAAAAAAGGCCAGTAGACTTGCTCAACTGAGGGTTGCCACAAATTTTCAATTTTTTTTCTTTTTATAAGATTTAAATATATATAGATTTGATTTTAAAGAGGAAAGGAAAGGGAGAGATAGAAACATCAACGATGAGAGAGAATCATTGATTGGCTGCCTCCTGTACGCCCCACACTGGGGATCGAGCCCACAACCCGGCATGTGCCCTTGACCGGAATTGAACCCAGGACCCTTCAGTCCACATGCTGCTCTATCCACTGAGCCAAACCAGCTAGACCAGCCAGGGCTTTTTTTTTTTTTTTAAATATAAGATTTTTAATTGATTTTTAGAGAGAGAGGAAGGGAGAGGGAGAGGGACAGAGAAAAACATTGATGTGAGAATGGAACATAGATTGGTTGCCTCCTGAATTCTCTCTACCCCTGGGGATTGAGCCTGCAACCTGGGCATGTACCCCAACTTGGAATCGAATTAGCAACCCTTCAGTGCATGGGATGAAACCTAACCAACTGAGCCCTACCAGCCAGGGCCAGATTTTCAATTTGTAAAAAATGCAGTATCGCTTTGGCTAGAGTGACTTGGTTAGAGCATTATCCCATGCGCCAATAGGTGCTGCATCTGATTCCAGTTCAGGGCACATATTCAGGTTGTGGATTTGATCTCCAGTTAGGATGCTTATGGGAGGCCATCAATTGATGTTTCTCTCTCACATTGATATTTCTGTCCATCTCTCTCTTTCTCTCCCCTCCTCTCTTAAAAAAAGTCAGTAAAAATTAAAAATACACACAACACAATATTTTCAAAGCACAATAAAGCTAGGTGTTCCGGTATTCCATTGGCTGGATGTATCATAGTGTGTTTACCCATGAGTTAGTTGATGGACATCTGGGTTGTTTCTAATTTTGGCCTATTATGGATAAAACTTCCTCTAAATATTTGTATATGAATTTTTTTTATGTGTAAATGTACTGTTATTTCTGATGGGTACTGACACTTAGGAATGGGGTTGCTGGGGCATCTGGTGTTTGTTTATTTTATAAGAAGCTGCCAAGCTATTTCCCAAGTGACTACACTATTTTACATTCTCACCAGCAGTGTATCAGCATTTCAGTTGCCCCATATTCTTTTAAAAAAATACATTTTTATTGATTTCAGAGAGGAAGGGAGAGGGAGAGACAGATAGAAACATCAATAATGAGAGAGAATCACTGATCGGCTGCATCTTGCCTGTCTCCTACTGGGGATTGAGCCCACAACCTGGGCATGTGCCCTTGACCAGAATTGAACCCAGGACCCTTCAGTCCACAGGCTGAGGCTCTATGCACTGAGCCAAACCGGCTAGGGCTCACTTGCCCCATATTCTTGACAACACTTGGTATTCTCAGCCTTTTTGTTTGTTTTAGCTATTTTAATAAGTAAGCAGTGGTATCTCATGGTTTTTGTTTTGCATTTTCTGCAGGGAGCTTTTATACTAGTAGAATCCAGGTCTGTCAATTTCAAACTCAGGAACCTCTTAGAAAAAATCATAGAATCATCTTTCTTGGGGTCTCAATGTCTACATCTTTATAAAGGACACAGTAGAAATATCAATTCCATAAGTTGTAATGAAGTTTAATGAAAAAAACATATAAAACACTTAGCAAGTATTTATAGTACACACAATTAAGCAGTGTGAGCTCTAATAGTTGGCTAATCTTATGATTATATCTATATATATAAAAGCCTAAGTAACCGTCCAACTGTCTGATTGGTAGCTTTGATGTGCCCTGACCACCAGGGGGCAGATGCTCAACGCAGGAGCTGCTGAGCTGCAGTGACTTGGCAGCTGCGGTTCTTGGGTGACGCACCTGGAACCAGAGAGGAGGGATCCCAATTCCGATTCCCGGGTGCGTCACCTGAGGACTGTCCTCTTGCAATCCGGGACCCATCAGGGGATGTTTGAGAGCCAATTTTGACCCAATCCCTGCAGACCAGGCCAAGGGACCCCACCAGTGCAAGAATCTGTGCACCGGACCTCTAGTGTATAGATAAATGCAAATGTAATGCCAGGTAGCTGATGCAGTGTGTCATAACATTCATCTAAGTGAAGCTATGTAAGATAGCTGGTAAGACCAAGGGGCATTTGAAATGGGGTTTGAAGGATTGGAGATGTGCTCTGTGAAGACGTCAGGAAAGGGCCTTTCCACAGAGGCGCACGCTGGATGGGTGGAGGGGGAGCATGGCATGGGGACATGACTAGGGCATCCCCTGACTGTCCCTGCATGACCTTTTTGTGGTTGCAGATTGTCAAGAAGCAGTGTAATGAATGAGAACTTGGCCTACCTCTCTGAGTGGTTGCTTTTGTCATTTTATTTTATTTAATTTTATTTTATTTTATTTTTTAAAATAAATCTTTATTGTTCAGATTATTACAGTTGCTCCCCCCTTTTCCCCCCATAGCTCCCCTCCACCCAGTTCCCACCCCACCCTCTGCCCTTACCCCCCACTGTCCTCATCCATAGGTGTACGCTTTTTGTTGCCGGGTCAAAGGTCATACACATGAAAAATGTAGCTGTTTCCATCCGCGACGTGTCCCTGTGTTCAGAAAAGTCTCTCACGACTTGTTCATGCTCTACTCAGAAAGGGTACGGAGACACGTAATGGCTTTTTAAAATAATGTGTCCTCTTATGTTTAAAATGAGGATTTCGCTATCAAAAGTGAGGAGAAAGCAACATTACAGCTGCTCTCGCCCCTCTTGCCCTTCGGGTGATAGTTGTGCGTGGGGCTGCGCACTGGTTTGTGGGCTGTCAATGAAGCCGTCTGGGTGGCTCACGCGGTTCCACCGGCTTCCCAGGGGCCGTCGCATCCTTGCAGGGGGCACCACATTCCACATTGGGGGTGAAGGTGCGAGACAGAAGCTCCTCTCGCTGTCTCTCCTGCTGCTCCCTTGTGTATCGCCGATGCTGGAAGTTTCTGAGAGCAGTCTGCAGGTGCTGGACATCATACTTTAACTGGTCAACATGAAGTTTGGCATTCTGTCTTTTGTTGGGCGGTTCCTTGCTGGACAGAATCTCCAGGCGTTCTAGCTGGCTGAATATCTGGTATGCTTGCTTGGATTTTGTTTTCTACTAAGTGCACAGATTGCTTGTCTGCCGTCTCCTGGCGTCCCATGTGAGACTGGATCTGGTGGACCTGCTTGTGCGTTTGCTGGTACAGCGGTTCCATATTGCCGGCCCAGCCGGGTCCGGCTCCGGCTTCCTCCGAACCTGATTCTGCTTTTTGAGTGTGTCCCTTATGGATGTGAGGAGTTGAAATCTGCAGTTTGTTGGGTTCGCTTTTGTCATTTTAAATCATGCTCTGAGTTTAACTGCCTGCCCGGGCACCCTGTGTGCGACCCGACCCAGGGCAGCGGGGCGGGACAGCATGGCTCCTCTGTCACCCCAGCTTCCTCATCACAGCTCCCTTGGGGGCCTAAGCCTTTAGTCGGACATCCCCCGAGGGCTCCCTGGCTGCCAGAAGGATGTCTGACTGCAAGCTTAGGCCTGATCCTCCCGGGGAGTGGGCCTAAATTGACAGGTGGACATCCCCCACAGGGTCCTGGACTGCAAATGGGCGTAGGCTGGGCTGAGGGACTCCCCCCCCCCCCCCCCCGCCAGTGCACAAATTTTTATGCACCAGGTCTCTAATTTATAATAATTACTGATAGGAGAGGACTTACTATTTCCATTTTGTTACTGATTTTCTGTATGTCTCAGATTTGTATTGTCCCTCATTTCCTCCCTTCTTACCTTCTGTTGTGTTTGTTTGTTTATTAATACATTTTTATTGATTAAAGAGAGGGAGGGAGAGGGAGAGAGAAATATCAATGATGAGAGAAAATCATTGATCAGCTGCCTCCTACATGCCCCTTACTGGGGATTGAGCTCGAAACCAGGGCATATGCCCTTGGCTGGAATCGAACCTGGGACCCTTCAGTCTGCAGGCCAGTGCTCTATCCACTGAGTTAAACCAGCTAGGGGTCCTTCTCTTGTGTTTAATTGATTTTTTTTGTAGTGATACACTTACTCCTTTTCATTTCTTTTTGTGTGCATTCTATAGATTTTTTTCTTTGTGGATACTATGGGGATTACATAGTTATAAGAATCTATTTTAAACTGATAATAATTTAACTTTAATGTTGAAATTTATTTTGTTTTTGAACCCTTAATGTGTACCATGCATTGCATTGAACACTCCACACTTACCTCATTTTAATCTTTTTATTAGCCTTCTGAAATTCAGGTATTGCTATCTGTATTCTACAAACGAGGAAACCAAAACACAAGGAGAATAATTAATTAGCCCGAAGTTACATAGCTAGGAAGTAGCAAAGTCAGAATTCAGTCCAGGTCTGCTACACTCTCCCATGTTCCACCCAGTACTGTGAACAGTCAGCTCACATTTCTTCTGCATTCATCACATCAGGTGGGATGGCCACATGGCTTTGTTAAAACATGTATCTGACTAGTCTCTATTTCCAAAACATATAATCATGCCTTTTTAAAAAAAAATTGATTTCAGAGAAGAAGGGAGAAGGAGAGATAGATAGAAACAATAATGATGAGAGAGAATCATTGATTGGTTGTCTCCTGCACACCCCCCCACTGGGGATCAAGCCCGAAATCTGGGCATGTGCCCTTGACCGGAATCGAACCTGGGACCCTTCAGTCTGCAGGCCGACACTCTATCCACTGAGCAAAACTGGCTAGGGCTCATGGCTTTTTAAAAATTTGACATTTAACATGGGTGTATAGCTAAAATAGAAGCATAGCTATGGCAGCACAGGGTGGAGACTTGAAAGTGTACACATAAAAATGTAAATTATCTGAAGTTTAACGTGACCCACTTGGAGTGGGAATTTCCCATATAATTGTTGCATTTTTCCCAATGATGAAACAAAACTTGGGATAGTTCATTAAAGTACTACACACATTTAAAAAACATTGTAGGTTGGAGTGTAAGATATTGTTTAATGAATACATTTCTTTTCTTCTTTAATAGTTTACTGCCGGAAACATTAATTGGAAGCATGTCCTACATTCATTTGTTGATATTTTATCGCCAAATTCTTGGAGATGTACTCCTAAAAGACAGGTTGAGCATGCAAAGTGCTGGTAAGGGGGTCTTTGTAATTTCCTTTTGTACAGTAATGCATCATCATGCTTTGAGTAAATGTAACCTATGTCAGCCTGTATCTTCTGCTTCCAAAGGTGAGACCATGGTCATGAGAAAAGTGAGGTTGGAAAAAAACACAGAAAGGAGAACACAAGTTTCTAGTCTTATTCTGTTCAGAGCCACTTCACTCCCCTCCTAAAAGCTCTGTTTATGTGGTACAAGACTCATTCCAGAACCCTCTACGTTGTGTATATAGGGGGGATGGGGGTTGAGGGGACAGCTTTGAGCTCCTAGAGGTTAAAGTGTTAGAATGTGTTGTCAACAAATCTTGAGACACAGTGATTCTAATATGTTATGTCTGTTGCAGTAAAACATGTTGGATAAAGTTTGTGTAAATCCTTTTTGGTCTTTGTATTTCAGATTTGATCAGTAATCCCGTACTGGCCACCTTCCCCAAGCTCTTGGAGCAGCCTGACGTGATGGATGCGCTCAGGGTGGGTAGTATCATGATGGGAGTCTGGTGGGTTCCGAAAGCAATTAAACACACAACATTAGTGCATTCTGACACCTATTCTTTTTTTTTTTTGCCCCCTATTTGGATGACATCTCCTGATCTGTGTCCACTTTTTAGCTGACTTGGGCTCATCCTTCCTTTCTTAGCATGAGTGTTACTTTTCTAGGCTTCCCAGCACCCAATAAGCAGGTGAAGGGCATGCTATGTACACTGTTGCAATCTCTTATTTGTTTTTTGTTCCTTAACTTAAGATGGCCACTAATTGTGGCCTAAGAGCAAAAATCCAAAATAGTTTGTTATATACATGAACTGAGTTCTCAGGGGAGAGTCAGGGCACACATATCATTTTTTATTTAATTCAACATATACTGTCTGCTGCATGAAATAGCAGCTGGTTGAACCACATGAATTCTTCAATTTTCAGCCATTTTTGACCTTCAAAATGTCAATTTTATAAAGTTCAACTTATCATAACAGGGTCAGCAAACATTAGAAGACCTGTATGCCCACAAGGCAGATGTTCAGATACCATGGCAGGTGCCACAGGGGAAGCATGACCCAGGTCCTTGGAGACTTAATAAGGCAGCAAAGGAGGACCAAGGACTGTTCCATTAAAGAGCTCCTGGGTGAGATGGACCTAGTACACGCTGGGGCCAAGTCCGGTTTTGACATGCTGAGATGGGAGTGAAAGACATTACAGGATAGATCCCAAGATGGCTACAGAGTAGATGGAAACTACACTCATCTGCTTCCCACCCCAAACTGGGTTTATAGGTAAATTATAGAGCAGTCAACCTGAATAACCAACTGAAGGCTAGCTAAACTGAAATATTATACCAAGGATTTATAGAAGAAGCCACTTAGAGACTGGCAAGAAGAGTGGAGACGTGGAAAGGGCTGGCCCCCACACCCAGGTGTGGCAGTGGCTGAGAAGCTGGAGGGATATTGTGGCTACAAAACTTCCTCCCCCCAGTATCATGGCGTCTCAACCCCATGTAGAGAGAACACAGAGCAGCAGAGATGGGAACAGGAACCCACATAGCATCTGGTGGTGAAAATCAGTGGGTCTTCAGTCTACCTGAAAGACCCAGATGCCACCTTCACAGGGATGAGCAATCCTATTGTTAACAGCAGCAGCCTGGGAGTGCACCACCTGGTCTCCCACTGCTAGTGAGACCACTCTGCCATGCTTGGGTCTTATGGAGGGATCTGCTGGCTGTACCCAGCAGTAACTTTTGGGGCCCTCTTTTTCTATGAAGGCTTTTGGTGAAGATTCAGACAGTGACTAAACTGTGTGACTTTTGGAAGAATGCTGGTCTCACCACCTTGAGCACATAGCCAGTGCCCCTTCCCCACTTGTTGAATCACTTAGCAGGCCTGCTGAGTTCAGTGGTGCAGGGGGACCAGAGTGCTATGCAGAGTTGGGACTTTCAGACCAGTCTCTTGGGGAAACTTTTGTCCAGGAACCAGACAGGCAGATGCTGGGGTGTGTGGCTACTCCTATCTCTAGTGATTTCAGTCTCTGCTACCCAGGAAGGGGAAGATGTGCCTGTCCCCTCTCCTATAGACTTCAGGGCACCCTCCCACCCCCCACTGGGAGACTGTTGGGATCAGCCCTGCAAAGTTCTGGATACCCCATCCCATTGGGCTCAGTTCTGTAAGGGGAAGGGAGAGTAGCTCAGAGCTGGGACATTAAAAGTGTAAGCCCCTTGGAGGCTATTGTCTGGGGCTGGGGCAAAGTGCTTAGCTCCATCCTGTGGGCTGTGCTGGCATCATCCCCATGGAAGACTCCTTTGATATGTCTGCCTGAACCTGAGGCAGCTTAGCTTGCTCCTGCAGAGAGGACGGCTGGCTGCACTGAACCTGAACCTGCAGTGAGCTCCTCCAGGGGGAATTAGAGTTGGAGACTCAGACAGAGACTTAGTGGTTTGGCTCTGGAGTAGGGGCCACTTTTTCCTCATTGAGTGCCTGACCACATGATCCAAGTAGGGACCCATTAGCCCTGTCCTCCCAACCCCAGTTATCCCACCCTACTGAGCTTGCAACCTGTGGAAGGGGATGTCGTTTGTCGCCACCCTGTTGGGCCCACTCAACAGTCATTTTTTGGCAGGCTCTGGAGGAAGACCAGGCAACTTTAGGGTGAGCCAGAGTAGCTGACAGGTGGAGGTGGACCTCAGAGAGCCTTGGTCCTTTTACAGATCTGCCACCAGCTCTAACCCGGAGGAAGCCGATCATTATATAGAAATTGACCCCTCCTCCACACACCCAGGTCCAGTAGATGCAGCTACAAATAGTGAACAGAGTGGTAGCTCCAGACAGGTTGCCTACAGTCAGTTACACACAACATCTGACAGTGACCTGTACCTGAACTCCACCCAAGTGGACCCAGAACCAACTCAGCCAGTGGTGGGCTGCAGATCAGACCAGAGCTCGACCCTAGTAGCCACACAAGCTGCACACCCAAAGGGGAATTATAGCAAGCACCAGGCCCTCCTAGAAACAACTCTGCCTCAAGGGGCAGCCCCTGAACAGTGTCTCATACACAACATCTTGTGTAGTCAGCCAGGCTGAAAGATTAACTCTATCTACAAAAGGGCCAACAGCACTCAAGACTCAACTACAACAGGAGGGTGTACATAGCCCACAAAAAACCCCCAAAGCATTTCTGGAGCAAGGAGCTCAGGTAATCTGGAAGATTGTGCCATTAAGCACAATGAGACACCATCATCATAAAGCCATCATAACAAGTTTGGCAATCATAGCAGATCTACCTAATGCACAGAGACAAAATGGGGAGATAAATAAATAGGCCCCAAATGAAAAAACAAGATAAATCCCCAGAGAAAGAATTAAATGAAATGGAAGCAACCAAAATACCAGAAGCAGAATTTAAAACAATGGTTATAAGGATGCTCAAGGACCTTAGGGGGAGAATGGATGATCTCAGAACTTAAAGAGATAATAAGCAATAAAAAGGACATAGAAACCATAAAAAAAGAACCATTTGGAAATGAAGAATAGAATATCTCAAATGAAGAATACACTAGAAGGAATCCATAGCATATTAGATAAAGCAGAGGATTAAATCACCGATTTAGAGGACAAGATAACAGTAAGCACCCAAGCAGAGCATAAGAAAAAAAAAAGAAAAGAAAAAAAAAGAATTTAAAAAAATGAGGACAGTCTAAAGGACCTCAGGAACAGCATCAAGCATAACAACATCCACATTATAGGGGTACCAGAAGGAGAAGAGAGAGAGCAAGGAATAGACAAGAAATAATGTTTGAAGAAATGATGGCTGAAAACTTAACCTGGTGGAGGAAAAAATTGTACAAGTTCAGGAAACAAAGAGAGTCCCCATCAAATTCAGGAAACCCAAAGAGACCCAAACCAAGACATGTTATAATTAAAGTGGCAAAGGTTAAAGACAAAGACAGAATCTTAAAGGCATCAAGAGACAGAAAAGAAAAAAAAAGGCATCAAGAGAGAGACAGTTACCTACAAGTGAGTTCCCATAAGGCTGTCAGCTGATTTCTCAACAGAAACACATCAGGCCATGAGAGATTGGCATGAAATATTCAAAGTGGTGAAAAGCAGGGACCTGCAACCAAGATTATTATATCCAGCAAGTCTATCATTTAAAATTGAAGGTGAAATAAGGAGCTTCCCAGAAAAAAAAATGCTAAAGGAATTCATTACCATTAAACCAGTATTGTAAGAAATGTTAAAGGGCCTACTGTAAGAAGAAGAAATATATATAGAGAGGAACATAAGTATAAAGTATAAAATGCAATAAATAAATGCTTATCAATAATAACCTTCAATGTAAACAGATTAAATGCTCCAAAAGACACGGGTAGCTGAAAATGGATAAGAAAACATGACCCATGTATATGCAGTCTATAGGAGACCCACCTCAGAACAATATAGTCACATAACTGAACGTGAAAGGATGGGAAAAAATTATTCCATGCAAATGGAAAGGGAAAAAAAAAGCTTGTGTAGCAATATTTATATTTGACAAAATATACTTCCAAACAAGGTAATAACAAGAGACAAAGAAGATTACTACATAATACTAAGGGGATTGATCCAACAAGAGAATATAATCCTTGTAAACATGTGCACCTAAAATAGGAGCACCTAAATATGTAAAGAAAATCTTGGTGAACATTAAGGGAGAGATTGACAGCAATACAGTCATAGTAGGGGATTTTAAACACCCCCATTATCATCAATGGATGGATCTTCTAGACAAAAATATAACAACAAGGAAACAGCACACTGGGTCAGGTTGATTTAATGGATATTTACTGAACATTTTATTCCAAAAGCAGCAGAATATATATTCTTCTCAAGTACCCATGCAACATTCTCAAAGATCACATGTTAGGACACAAAATAAGTCTCTACAAGTTCAAGAAGATTGAAATCATATCAAGCATCTTCTCAGATCACAGTGGTATGAAACTAGAAATTAATTACAATAACAAAACTGAAAAACATTCAAACACATGTAGGCTAAATAGCATGTTATTAAACAATGACTGGGTTAACAGTGAGATCAGGGAAGAAATAAAAAATTACCTGGAATCAAATTAAAATGAGCACACAACAACCCCAAATCTATGGGACACAGTGAAAGCAGTCCTGAGAGGAAAGCTCAGCATTAAGGCCTACCCCAAGAAACAAGAAAAATCTCAAACAATTTAACCCTATCTTTTAAAGAGCTAGAAAAAGAACAACAAACAAAGCCCAGAGTAAGTAGAAGGAAGGAAATAATAATGATCAGAGTGGAAATAAATCACATAGAGACTAAAAAAAAAAAAAAATACAAAAGATTAATGAAACCAGGAGCTGATTCTTTGAAAAGATAAACAAGGTTGACAAACCTTTAACCAGATTCATCAAGAAAAAAAGAGAGAGGACCCAAATAAATCCAAATGAAAGAGAAGTAACAACTGACATTACATAAATACAAAGGACTATAAGAAAATACTATGAACAACTATATACCAACAAATTGGTCAACCTGGGCGAAATGGATAAATTCCTAGAGACATACAATCTTCCAAAACTGAATTAGGAAGAATCAGAAAACCTGAATAGACCAATACCAACTAATGAAATTGAAGCAGTAAAACAAACAAACAAACAAAAAAACTCTCAGCAAACAAAAGTTCTGGACGGGATGGCTTCATAGGTGACTTTTCCCAAACATTCAAAGAACTGATACCTATCCTTCTCAAACTATAACCCAAAAATTCAAGGGGAAAAGACAAGCTCATCTTACGAGGCCAGCATTATCCTAATTCCAAAGCCAGATAAAGACACTACAAAGAAATAAAATTATAGGCCAATATGCCTGATGAATACTGATGCTAAATTCCTCAACAAAATATTAGCAAACCAGGTCCAGCAATACATTACAAAGGTCATACACCGGCCGATGAGTCTAAAGTTGCTAAGTGCCATTCGTGTTAAGTCAGATTCCTTACAGAGTTTGTGACGTGTGAGCCTCTTACTGTTAACTTAGCCAAGTTCAGTTTGTTGTTGGCGCTTTGATGATGATGATGGCTCCTGGTCTGGTTAGTGACGCGCTCTGGCCTCCAAGGGTCCTCTTCAAACTCTCTGGCCCCAGGCATAGCCGTCAGCAGTGGAGGAGCACAGCCCCTAAGGCAGTTCTTCCAGGAGGAACTGTGAGCATCTGGGGGTGGCTCCTGCCAGCGAGGGCCCTGCAGAGGGGGGGGGGGCGCACCTCTGTGGTCTCGGTGAGGAACTTCTTTGTTTCGTGGAGACTCTTCTCTTGGTGCCACATGTCATGTTCACCCCAGGGCCTCCCCATTGGGGAAGGTCGATGCATCCACGGAAACCATGAACTGAGGCGCCAGCGGGAGGGTACCTGCCAACAGGCACCACGTGAGGCCCAGGAGCGAGCAGCTAGAGCCTGGGCACCCCCTCGGGTACAGTGTGCAGAGCTGGCACCAGAGGCTTCGATCCCGACTTCTGTGGGGGCTCCCTGAACTCTGGGTTTTTATTTCTGTAAAGGAGCGTTGGTGAAGCCTCGTGGACAGGTGGAAATATTGACTTGCAAGGCTGTACTGCATTTGTGTCCCGTGACCATCGTCATCTTCCAGGCAGACAGAACTGTAGACAAGTGTGGTATCGGCAGTTTCTATGTCTCTACTGACTAACCTGCAAAGCTTGCTCGTGTTTTATTGTTCAGGTGCTGTGTCTGTGCAGTTTGAATGTGTGTGTTCGCGCTTCACTGATTCTGATCGTAAATTAGTTTAACGTGTAAGAAGCACGGGCTTCTGGGGCGTCCCTCCCCGCCTGGCCGGTCTGGCTCCTGGTTAGAAGCAGGCGCCCTCAGACGTTCTTACGGTGGCGGTCCTGACAGGGTTCCAAACCCCGTCCACCAGCTTAATTACAGTGAACTTGCAGGCAAAGACTTGCGAACCCTCAGATTAATATATCATTTGTTTCCTTTTCAGAGTTCGTGGGCTGAAAAAGAAAGTACATTAAAAAGATCGGAAAAGGTAATGTGTTTTTCCACATGCACTTAATATCCGCAGTGTCACTGCTCCCACATTCTAACATGGGCTCTTTTTTTAGCTAAAATAGCCATAGTCATACCCCTCTCACTCTCTTAAATGGTGTCATTACGGATGTAAAGACACGTTCCAGGAGTGTCTGGGTGCCGATTCCTAATGTGAACCGACGCTGGATTGAGAGTCATTTCAGGTCACCGAGTGTCATTTAGTTGAGGGGAGATTTTAAATCAAAGCTCCCAGTTGACTATCAGATTTCTCTTATTTTTAAAAAATTCCTCCTGCTCTCAAAGTGTATAACAGGTAAGGAGAAGGAAAAGGAAAATCGGCTGAGCCATGTCAGACATTGGAAAACGCAGGTGTGCCCGGTGCCACAGAAGCGTGGTCATCACACACCAGCAGCACCATCCCCGTCAGTGAGCAACACCCTGACTGCTCCACTCCAGGGTCCAATAGACGGTCCTGGGAAGGGCCACATGGTCGGTACTTTTGGCTTTGCGGGCCCTGTGTTCTCTGTCACAGTGACTCAGCTTTGCCATTGTAACATCTGAGCGTGGCTGTTTCTATAAAACTTTGTTTATAAAAAGTAGCAGGGGCTACATGGACCCATGGGCCATGGTGTTTGGACTTCTAAAGCCTTAGTTATCTACAAACTAAAAACCCTAAACATTAAAAAAAGTACCCATATTGTATCCTTATTTGACCTTTGCCAGAATTGGCAGTTTAAAAATTATATTTTTTTATTGACTTCAGAGAGGAAGGGAGAGGGGGAGAGAGAGAGAGAGAAACAATAAGAGAATCATCCATTGGCAGCCTCCTGCATGTCCCACACTGGGGAATGAGCTCAAAACCCAGGCATGTGCCTGGCTGAGAATCGAACTGTGACCTCCTGGTTCACGGGTTGACACTCAACCCCTGAGTCACGGGCAGGGCTAGAAGTGGAGGCTTAATGCTATTCTGGTGAAGCCATGGGCAAGGTGTTGGCCTGTGGAAACTGCCCTGCGCACAGGGTGTGCTTGGAGGGCGCATTTCTGTGCAGACTCCACAGCGTGTGGATGCCTCCACCTTCCGAGTGCCCTGCCCTGTGATTCCCACTCAGCCTGTCCGGTGGGGCCGAATGGCAGTGTCTACATTGCAGTCCTCTCGTGATGGGGAGAGTCCAACAGCGGGTCCTTACTGCTGGGGCCCTTTCTCTGGGTTTCATGCTTGTGGCCCTTCCCTTGTACACGAAATCGTCGGATGTGCTGTGATGGGACTAAGGGGCACAGCTGGCTTCACGGTGTGCTTTCGTTGTATTTACTTGGACCCACACCCTTGTCACCAGAATTAGACTTCAGCGCCCATTCTCCTTGGTGGGAAGTGAGACCCTCAGTGGCCTTAGCAGAGCCCCGGTCTCGAGGAGTCGCCTGCAGCCCCTCTGCTCCACGTGACTCGGTGACTCCTTTCCACTGAGGGGCTGCTTCCTGCTGCGTCCCTGGTGCAGAGCCACTGACCGACCCACCAGGCACTGTGCACCTCCGCCCATCTGCAATGGCTTTTAGTCAACAGAGTTCATAGAATCTAACGCTTAATGATGCGGATCCACTCACAGTTACTTGTGGTGTTTTCCCAGAGAGACACAGAGTTCCTGAAGACTGCTTTTCGCCTAGTTTACCACGACTGTGCAGTGCCCCTTCTCCACTCCACACTCCTGCCCCCGTTCAGGTGGGCAGAAGAAGAGACCGAGGCCGCGCGGTGGAAAGTCATCGCGGACTTCCTGAAGCAAAACCGAGAAAACCAGGGCGCCCTCCCAGCTCTGCTGTCACCAGAGGGTGTCCATGAACCTTTCGACATTTCAGAGCAGACCTACGACTTCCTGGGTGAGATGAGACAGAAAGCAGCCTGACTGGTGGCCCGCGGCCCTCCAGGCCCACCATGCTGCCCGATAAAGTACAGCCAGAAGTAATCGTCCCGTGGAACTTAGCTTTACTCGTCCTTGTGTGGACCACATTCTATAAGAAATACCCATCTGGTCATGTGAATCTTTTAATAAATAAGTTTTTATAAGGAGTACTGTTATATCTAATTTTAAATTTCTTCAAAAACCAACTAACAAATATAAGTTGACTGTATTTATAGATGTGTATAAAAGCAAGATTTTTAACAAAAGCTGAATTATGATTATTCAAGAAAGTGACTATACAACCCAGGGGATGGCAGGAGATATGTCCAGGTCATATGTCTTGTAAGAGTCTAGTGTCTAGAATATAGAAATGTATGATTATTGCTAATAGAATTGATGTTGTGAAATGAAGGGGAAATCAGCACAACCTATTTGAGAAAGTTGTGTTGTTAACCATTTCTCTCAGTCTAATATCTGAATGTGATTTATCCTAATTAGATGTAAGAAAGGAGCTAGTTGTGTCTTTTCATGTCCATTTAATAGGTGCTCCTTCAAAAAACAAAGTTCAGGTATTGGGGAGTGAGCCAGCCCAGCTGTCAGAGCAGGGATTTGGAACTGTAAAGGAGGGGCCCACTCCCCCCAACCTCCCGGCCATGTCCTGTCCATGGGTCGGTGCTGGGACGGAGGGGACGCATGTGCCAAAGAGCAGGTACAGCCTCTGTCCTCATGGTTTCATGGTCTCAGGTGTGAGGCAGGCAGAGCTCACAGGAGCCAGCTGAGGTGTAGAAGGCACCACAGAGGGCAGCGGAACAGGTCTGAGCCCAAACCCGAGGCCCCTGGGGCCTGCTTGTAAGGGACGAGCTGGGAGTCCCGGCTGAGGCTGTCTGTCCGCAGGCGCACAGGAGGCCCGTATGTGGCCCGCTCAGCTTCCTCTGCAGTGAACGTCGGAGGGGGCCAGAGAGGTCCAGCCGGCTGTGCCCTGGCGGGTGGGGTTGCTCCCTCACAATGGCAGCACCGCTTCCTGCGCAGGGGCGTCTGAGCTGCTCGCTCCCCTGTTGGGCTTGTGCCCGGAGCATCTGATGCCCTAGCACACCGCCAGGCCGGGGAAGGGGGAGGGGGGTGGTGGCCGGGACAGGCTCCCCGTCCTCTCAGCGCCCCAGGTGGACGGATTCCACAGAGGAACCGCGAAGGAATGGAGGAAGGAGCCAGAGGGAAGGTGCCCGACTGCAGGGCCCGTCATCGCCTTTTCGTGGTTGCGGTGACATTAAACCCAGCAGCGCTATGGCCTGCGATGTCCTAGCACTGGGCCTGCGCAGAGTAGGCGGCCACGCACGACAGTGGGCATTCCTCCCCGTCCACGGTCCCTCCCCTTCCCGTCCACGGTGCCTCCCTGTCCACGTCCCCCCTCCCGCCCGCAGCTCCCTCGGGTTGGGAGTGAGGGCCGAGGAAGGGCTGTGCCTCCAGGAGGGAAGGGCTCAGAGCTGCAACTCCTGCGGCTCAGGCTGAAGGGAGCCGGGTCTGCGGCCGCAATGCCAGAAGGAGTCACTGTGGACGCAGCTCAACCTCAGGATCTGGTCCTGTGTCTTGTAGCCTTTTTTCCGGCTCTGGAGGCGGCTGGACCTTAACCTGTTCGTGTGTCTGGCTTTGCCAGCAAAGATTACTTTGCAGAACTTTGTCCTTTCCAAGAGGCCGCCTTGGGGAAGCAGGACAGGCGCCCAGCTCTGCGAGCCCTTCCCAGGTCGGCGTCTCTGGGTGACCTTCCATGAGTCCTTCCTCTAGAGAGTCTAGAGGCAGCCCTGTGTGTGTGTGTGTGTGGGGGGGG